CTATTGAACAGCACTTATCTCCCTAACATTTCCTATCACTTTTCCATCTCTGTGTAGAAAACAACATGTAATGCTGTGTCAAGGATGCTGCAAAAATCAAAACACATTTGTTTAGCCTCTTCATAAGCAGCAGGTACTTCATCTACCATATTTACCCAGAAGAAAGCTTATGATGATTTAGTCCCACCATTAAAAAAAAATCACACAGAATTTGCCCATCCCAAATTCTTTGGAAAGCAATTAATATTCCTTCCACCGAAATATTTTAATCTTAGATGTCCCATTCTAACTTGAGCATATAGACACTGTATTCTTAAGTCCTTCTGGCTCTGTGCTGGTGCTGGCTTGATTTTAAATTGGTTTAAGGAAACCTTGACTAGACTGAGATACTTTGGCAGCAGCTTGTAAAGGATTCAATTGGGAGTCCAGGCTACTAAGCTACCCCCTCCACTTTCCATTCCAGGACCCTAATTGGCCTGGAATGGGCAATTCTATGGGCAAGTCTAATATCTATCTATCTATCTATCTATCTATCTATCTATCTATCTATCTATCTATCTATCTATCTATCTATCTATCCCAAAGTTAAAGATATACATACACATTTAAATAAAGATACGTATATGTAGGCACAGCAATATTTTATTTTTAAATAAACATTCCTTTTTTGCATTTTCCCACATTTCCTCAAAACACCTGCTGCAGCTTTTGTTGAAACATTTGTTTCACAGGTACAGCATCCCTGGTTTGAAATCTAGCAGAATTTTTTTTTTAATTACAATTTTTCTTACCCTGAGCTAACTACTTGTCGTAGACGTATCCCAAGTGTTTGCAAAAACAATGAAATGGCGCACTGTCAGATTATTTTAAAAAAACCAAAGAAACCAAAGAAGGAAAGCCATGAAGACAAATAGATTGTTCAGGGAAAGAAAAATAGTAATTAAAAAAGTTTCTGCCAGGTTACAAACCAGAGATGCTCTGATACGTTTTGATATTTAAATTTTCAGAGATATCGACTACATCAAGTGAAATCAGATCAGTTTATTACAGCCATAAGGCCAGTTAGAGTAAAATATCAATAGAACTGTTACATACATCTTTAAATAAAACAGAAAATAAGTTTGTAGACCAAATATCTGTCAGTAACTCACAACATTCTTCTTGCTGCTCAAGAATAAAGAGTAAATTACATTCTTCACTTCACATTCTCATGGCAAGATGTTTCTTCCTGATAAGCATTTGATTTCTGTATGGGGAAAGTTCGTATGATTTGCTCCATATCTTTCACAAAGTTTGTTAGAGAGGAATGACATTAATGACATACTTTTGATGTAGTTTGCAATTTTACAACTTTGGCACAGCTGTAAACTCATCACTGATTGTTTTTGCATGCTTCATGAGGCAGAAGTAACTGCAATGCTATAATATTAATGTTGACATTTTTCATTAACGACACAAATCGTTTTATTGGCTGAACCAATTGAAGATACACCATGTGTACAAATTCTGACACAGAATTTGCAGGACATGCCAACAAATTATATATAGATAAAGTAGTGCAAATACCTCGGTCCATGGTTTGCCCAGGTTCTTTTACAACATAAAATATCTTCTTCTTTTTTACAATCATCAGTGTAATGAATGAATATTGATGAATGAAGGGAAATGTTGACTTCTTGTTCTGCTTAATTCTCAAATTTGTCTTAATTATAACATTGTAAGTGAGAAAAATCAATGCTTCTTCAATTGTAGTTTATAACTAGCAATTTTGCTGCTAAACAGCTTATCATTCTATTTTGGCTTAAGCTTTATCACTCCAGTTTGGCAAATTTCAAGCTATTTTTGTAGAATTTTAAAGTCTCAAAATAGAATAGAGGTTTGTCAACAAGATAATTACGTTTTATTGAGACGTGTCTTTACTTGCTTTATACTATTGTTTCATTGGCTAATTTATTGACACAAATAATACATTGTAAGGTAGAATTAAATTCACCATATTTAGTAAATTCTACTGCTATGTAATTGTCAAAATAAAAACAATTTTCTTTGTTTTTATAGAGACCCTAGTTTTTTTATTGTGGGCCAACACATTTTTCTTTTCACTTCTGTTTCCACCTTCATTGGTTGCTTGGTCCTTTCCACTGCCAACTTCATATTTTCTCTTCTTAGTAATAAAATTATCCCTTGTTATGTTTAGGGTAACTCACAATGTGCACCTCCAGATGCCTCCTCTGATATCCAGAAGAAGACCTTCATTCCTCCCAACTGATTGATGAAGCTACACACTTCCAATCAACTCTATTCCTGTTCTGGGTTGATTGGCAGATGACTTTATTTTATACAAAAGGCAGTTTCCAAACATGTTTAGCCCCAGCTTGTCAGCAAACTCACCTCTGAACATTGAAAAACATGTACTTTTGTGCTCGCTTTGGCAGCACATATACTAAAATTGGAACGATACAGAGAAAATTAGCATGGCCCCTGTGCAAGGATGATACGCAAATTTGTGAAGTGTTCCATATTTTTTTTAAGATTTAAAAAAAAGAAGAAAAAGAAAAACATGTATTTTCCACAATAGCATGTATCTGTCCTACTCTAAAACAAAGCTGCATTTCTATACATGTAGAAAGATGTATATATAAGTGTATGCAATGGCCTAGTTGTAAGAGTTTAGTTGAAAGTAATAATTTTGTGGCATTTGAGCAATCTCTATGGTATCTCAAGTTGCCATGGCATCCTGATTGAAAATCATTGACATAGAAGAATTAACCTCTGTCCATTTCTTACATAAGAAAGTTTTTCTATTACTGTATCACCACTCAGCTATTCCCAGATAATTAAGCACGGGAAATGAATTTGAAGCTGAATATTCCGCGGTACAGCTTTGTGAAATTACTTTTATTAATCAACATTGATTTTTTTGTTAAATAATGGTATCATAAACTTTCCCATAAGAAATATACAAGTCACCTATCGGAGCACTGGGAAATAATCAATCTTTGCAACACACTGGGAGACCTGAACAATGATAAGGTTCATTAATTTAAAACCTTCCACTGAGATTTTGTTCCTGTTTTTGAAAGTGAATCGGTTGACAACATCATGTTTTGCAAAATCATATTCTTGAAAAACCATTGTTATAAGGGCACTGAAATTTTGTAAAAATAACTTAATATAAGTAAGGCAATTATTACGCAGCATCTCTGCATAAAATCAATGTTTACTCAGGAGTACATCCCATTACGTTCAAGGAAGGTTTTACCCAGGGGTGAAATGCTACTGGTTCGCACTGGTTCGGGCGAACCGGTACTAATAAAAGCTACCAGTTCGGGTGAACCGATAGTAAAAAAATGCTACTGGTTTGTCCGAACTGGTATTTCCGAAGATCAGCTATGCTGCGTGATTTATATTGGCTAGAAAGTAGGAAATCCTGCTTTCTAGCAAACCTAAATCGCACGGCACAGCTGTTCCCTTCCTCGCTGTTCTACTTAATTTCTTAAGTCTCCTTTTTTGTGCAAAAAGATGTTTGCTGCGCATTGCGCATGCATGTGCAGCATGTGTTTGGTGCGCACTGTGCATGCATGCATGCAGCATGCATTTGGCGTGCACTGCACATGCGTGCACAGTGAACCGGTGGCAAACCTCTGAGGATTTTACCACTGGTTTCACCCATATTCCACTGTTCTGTTTCTGAGGAGCACTCAGGTTGATTGACAGCCTTTCTTTAAAAAGAAGATCTAAAAAATAAACACCACAGGTTAAAATTAACCATAAAATTCATATTGACTGAACAGTTAAAAATCTGACAAAAGAGATGCATTTCGTTATTTTGCATGCAGATAGTGTTTTGCTTGCTTGTTTGCTTGTTTATTAAACAAATTTATATGGCTGCCTAACTCAAACACTGGTGACTTTGGGTGGTTTACAACAATAACCTATAGTAATTAGCTAAACCATTAGCTTATCTAATGAGCTTTCTTGAATAGTTGAGGAATATGTAAAATTCATAACTAATGGTAAATATTTATTTTTGTGAAAGGTTTAAAACTCCTTATATTATGTCAGCAATGTGGAACTGCTTGATAATATTTTATACTGTGGCTTCTTTCTATGTAAAAGTTATTAAAGTACCCAAATGGGGTTCCTGGAGATTTGTAAAAAAAAAAAAGAAAGAAAGAAAGAATACAGCTGCAAGGGCTTTCCTGTCTTTGAGGAATGCTGTTTGGCTTAAGGAGAAAGCAAATATTAAATTCAGATGATACAACACCTTTTTCTCAAGACATGGTTTGAAGAGTGGGGATACAGAGCTTCCTCTCTTCTAAAAACAAAAATGCCTCCCTCTTCTCTATCATTTGGAATAATCAGAACTGGCTGATAGCCCAAATTAAGAATTTGTTTTAAAGGAAACTAGGTCAGAAACCTTTAAAATAGAGGTTCTAATCATGGAAAAAAATTCCCAATCTCTGATAATATTCAACCCAATTCAGGTGGAACAACATAAAGTGTGGTTAAAACAAATCAGAAAAGGAAAGGATATTCTGCCGATTGGAGATAAATTCATGGCATACCACATCTCACACGTACTGTTTCCTACAATACTTGCTAACAATACAGTGTTTCCCCGAAAATAAGACCCTGTCTTATATTTTTCTGAACCCTGAAATAAGTGCTTGGCCTTATTGCCATGTGTTCAAAAACCCGATTGGATTTATTATCAGGGGATGTCTTATTTTGGAGAAAACAGAGTAGTAATCCAATTGGATTTTGATTTAACACTGGAAGACTTTCCTCCTCTCCAAAAGGAAGACTACATATTTGCATTAGGCCTTAAGTAGACCATTGAAGCTCTGCTTCTGATATAACAACCATATCAGTATAAGCCTTGCTCTGTGTGATGAGAAACACTTGTTTTTTCAGAATTCATGATCATGCAGAAAAAATAATAAATGCACCTTGCCACATTACCTAGCTATAGGGTTCATAAAATTATTCACCTGAAAGTGTGAAAGTCAAGAGGTGGGATCTATTTCCAAGAACACTCTATATATTCATCCTTGATGCATTGTTTGAACTGGCTGTAATTCAAACTGTAAGGAAAAAGAACATGTAAGACAAAAGTGAATTTACCTTGTCACTTTGGGCACTGACTGTGTGTGTAACATGCTTCCTGCAGCACAGAAAATTTTTACAATGCTTCATTTTCTGAGTTGGACCAGTGTTTTTGTTCTGCTTCATCAAAGACTAAGGACATTTAATGCAGAAATGTCATACTAAATCTTTTGTAACTAAATGCTGAAGTCACGCAATTTGCAATAGGCATGAATGAAGGGAATAAACAGAGTTTATGGGTCTCTTCTCAAGCTTACTAGGAAAATCAGCTAGGTGTGTGAATTGCTTGAAAGTACAAAGCTTATGTCTGTGAATTTTCCAAGGTGTTAGAAGAATAATTTGGGGTTCTAACTCGAACTGGGGTTGTGCAAAGAATAAATAAAAATGAGATCCAGACAGCTGTGAGGAAAGAAAAAAATGTTTATTCCTAAAAGCAATCAGTTTGCCTTTAGGGGCAGCTGCAAAGAAATGGGGTACAGCAGCAGATTTTTATAGGGGGAGCTTGTCCAGGGTGTGGAACAGTGGTGGGTTCCTCCTGGTTTGGCCCGGTTCGGCTGAGCCGGTAGCGGTGACGATATGACATCACCGAACTGGTTCTGCCCCCCGCCCCCCGTGTTATTATTACCTTTTATTTGGCCCCACCCCCAATCTATTGCTACCTCCTGAGTCCCAGCTGATCAGGTAGAAGGAAAAAAACTGTTTAAAATCTTCAAAGGGCCGCCCTACAGCTGATTAGTGTTAAAAGGCAGTGTGGTGGTAGACCGGTGCCTCCAAAAACAAATGAGTAGACCGGTGCCTGCAAAAATAAATGGGTAGACCAGTGCCTCCAAAAACAAATGAGTAGACAGACCGGTGCCTGCAAAAATAAATGGGTAGACCGGTACAGCTCTGTAGTTAAAAGCCTAGTAGACCAGTACCTCTGCTAAATCCTAAAGAATTGTCACATGACCATCAAGCCACGCCCACAAGTATCACCACTTACAGAACCGGTAGTAAAAAATTTTAGAACCCACCCCTGGTGTGGAAGTGCCTATGTGCTGAATCTAGAGTGATATTTGAGGGATGTGTGTATGCGTATGTGTATGTGTGTAAGAATCAGTGGTGGGTTGCTCCCGGTTCTTTTGAACTGGTAGTAAAAGCAGTGGGAGGCTCTGCCCACCCTCTGGGACATCATAATGGACAACATGCGCATGCGCAGAAGCGCGCACGCACGTGACGGAAGCAAGCACTCACGTACGCTCCCGTTGCGAATCGGTACTAAATGTAAATAGAACCCACCCTTGATAAGTATGTATTCTGCAGGTGGACATGCAGTTCCTCTGGGAGACCTAATTTAATAAACTCTATTGTGTTCACAGGCCTTATCCTTTGACATATGGATTAGGTCTGCGTAATTTATTTGGGAATTTGAGGAAGTTTAGGTAAAGGATTTTCACCTGTTTGCTATTTTTACTTGATTAGTTTAATTTCAGCTTGACTATCAATTGTGTGAATGCTTGTGTGAAAATGCTGATTCTGTTAATGTTTTCGGGAAAGATGGAAACAATATAAAGAATAAGATATATTTGGATATAAAACTTTTCACAATATCCTCCTCAAAAGGTGTTGTACTAATTCGATTTAAGAATGTACTCAGAAACAGGCTCAGCTGGTGCATTACCCTAGGCTGTTAAAGCAGTGCTGGTCATTTAGATGCAAAACCAAAGTCAGAAAATCACACTTACCCCTGTTCTTTAAGTGGGCTACAACTCCATCCAAAAGCCAGATCCAGGACCTATTTTCTTTCTGAACAGGAGAGATCTGATTAGCCTTTATTTATGTGAGATACTTTTATTTGATATTATTTAAGCTATGGACACCAGTTGCAAATTCAGATTTTTTTGTGTGTTTTTAGAAGTAATCAAAATATGTATGGTATCACATCAAATCAGAACATACCATAAAGGTGGGATACAAATAAATAAATATATCTCATATCTCATGTCATATCATATAATTCTTACATTTCTGTAAAATGGAAAAATCCGTATCACCTTCTTTCCATCTTCTGTACCACATTGTAATATTTTGTCATCATTGGCATCTTTTCCGCAAGAGAATATACTTTTCTGCAGAACTTACCTTTCCTTTATTCTAGCGCAGCCCCATTTCTCTATTCCTGTAAGTGCTTTCATTGCCACTGAACGGACCTGAAGACAATTAGTTAAACTTTAGAAAAGATAAAAATGAACATAACTTGGAAAAAAAAAATCACCCTGCAGGAGATAGTTGGCGGGGGAACAAAGGGCTTATTGTGCTGATTCAGTTTTGCCCAATCATTTTATTAATCACAAAAATCAGAAGCAGAATTGCACACATATATTAGTTAATTTGAATGGATGATAGGGGGTAAGAGGAGGAAAAAGCTGAAAAATGAAAGGCTGGAGGAAAAATCTTATTTTTCTTTAGTATTGTGTGATATATAATTTATTGTGACACACACTCTCTCACACACACAAACACACACAAACACAAATATACACACACTGGTCCTGGCTTTGAACCAAGCTATGTTACTTGAATTTGGAGGTGGGGAGGAGTGGGCAAGCTTATCTTGCCCCTGGCTGATGTGAGAGAAGATGGATTTGTTCATTGCTATGGATATCTGGATTAGTGAAAAGCTGGTATAATATATTGTAGTAGCTAAGCTGTTAGACTAGAATATCCATGATATCAAATCTACTCCTACTTGTAGAAGTTCACTGAATTACTTAAGGCAGTCTTTTTCTATTTTTTTCCTTTATTTTTATCCCACCTTTATTTATTTCTCTAAATAACTCAAGGCAGTGAACATACCTAATACACCTTCCTCTTCCTATTTTCCCTGCCAATCCCATGAGGTAGGTTGGGATGAGAGAGATGTCTGGCCGAAAGTCACCCAGTCAGCTTTCATGTCCTAAGGCAGGACTAGAACTCACTCTTAGTTTCTTAGCCTTCTAGACTAAACTTATCTCATAAAGTTGATGTTGGGGAGAAAAATGACAGGGAGTGAATTTTAGGTATATCACCACGAGTTCTTGGAAGAAGAAAATCAGGATATAAATCTCATGAATAAATGAATATCTATCTTCTGAAATTCAAACAATCTTTATATTTGCTGAGAAGTCATTTCATACAAGTACAAGGTGCCATAGCATCACGTTTGTCATTAAAAAAAAAAAAAGAGTTGTTTCTCAATAAGTCATCCTTAGTTCTAAACATAAGACTTTCCTTGCTAGAAGAAGAAAATAATAATCAAAGGAATTCTCCCTGGAATCTCCTTCCCTTCTTCTTCCTCTTCCCTTGAAATGTAATAGAAGAATGATAAATTGGGGGGGGGGGATTTAAGATGTTTGTGAGAATCTGAATGATGAAAACAGTGTTGTGTCATTGCTCAGAAGCCAACCTTTTTTGGACACTGGTGTGATGTCATTAACAGAAAGGATGGGTTAAAGTATGATGGTGTGATGCCACTTTCATTGGTTTGATACTCTACAGCAGAGGTCTTCAAACTTGGCAGCTTTAAGACTTGTGGACTTCAACTCCCAGAATTCTCCAGCCAGCTTGATACTCTACAGCAGAGGTCCAGCTCCAGTCAGGTTTGATACTCTACAGCAGAGATTTTCAAACTTGGCAGCTTTAAGACTTGTGGACTTCAACTCCCAGAATTCTCCAGACAGCTGGAGAATTCTGAAAGTTGAAGTCCACAAGTCTTAAAGCTGCCAAGTTTGAAGACCTCTGCTCTACAGAATGTGCAGTGAAGGACTCATACTATATGCTTAGTTCATAAGATTATTTACCAAAATGTTCTGCCTGTAAATGAGTACTTTAATTTCAACCGAAATAACACAAGGACTATCAATAGATTCAAACTCAATGTAAATCCCTCTAATCTTGATTGTAGGAAATATGACTTCTGCACTAGTGTAGTAAATGTCTGGAACACTCTACCTGATCCTGTTGTTAATCTCTCTAATCCCCATACTTTTTACCTTAAACTGTCTACCGTGGACCTTTCATGTTTCTTAAGAGGTCCCTAAGGGGGCGTGCATAAGCGCACCAGCGTGCCTACCATCCCTGTCCTACTGTCCCCATTTATATGTAATCATTCTATGTGTTTATGGCTATGTTTTGCCTATTTATATCCTTTTATTTGTGCCAATTTTTTTTTCATGTGTCCATGTCTATGTCTATAATGTTACTTGTTTCCTTATACTTGTTGACAAACAAACAAACAAATAAACAAATACATAAAACATTCTTTGATTCAGGAGCAGGGTACTTTCTCTTGCATACATACACATACACATTAGATGGGTGTTTATATAAATCTGTGGTTTTATACAACTTGGCTAGGGCAGTTCAGAGGTGAAAGTGATGATCAAAACCATTGGTGAACACTGAGTTGCTTATCCTTGCTTTAGAAAATGGAAATACGTTCTTTCATTTTATGGTAACAAAAAATAACAAAGGTCCTGGGATTTTAAAATGTTATGAGAAAAAGGAATTGCCTTATAGGCAGCAGTCAGAATTATAGTCATTGACTTTATAAAAATGAAAATCCCTAGAAATATTACAGGCTTCCCTAAACGCTCAATTTTCACCTTCAAAACTAATGTCCTTAGTTTTTAGGTCTGTTATAATAACAGAAATACAATTCATATGGCATTCTATGGAAAGGTCAATAAAAATAAACCTGACCCCACCTTTTATTATAGACATCAATGACTTCAGGGAGAAGCAGAAATTGTGGAAACTAACAAGCAAGCCCTGCTTGACTTTCTTTATTTAATTACCACTGGGGGAAAAATATATTCTACTTTTCTTATAATTAACCAGGATCAACTATGGCTCCTGATGATAATTAATCGTAACGTAGATGGATAATGGAGTCATTGATAAGCAAAGGAATATATTCCTGATTTGATCTTTATTTATTCCACATAGCCTCAAGACACTTCCTTGCTCTGGATCTGAACCCTGACATTCAAAATAAGTTTTGGAGTTCAACTATATCTTCAAATAAATAGCTTGCTTTTAATTATTAAGTAGGTTTCTGAGTACTGCTTATATTGCAGCAATCTCTGTAAGCTAAATGCTTAAACTTTTTGCATTTCAAACTCAATTTTTTAGAAGAGCTGATATTACTTTTTGAGTGGCTTCGGGTAGAACTAGATTGTGAGGGTTGCTATAACAATTGTCACCTTGATCAAATCACAGCCTCGAATAATAAAAGAGCGGAAGACTATTTCAAACATTATTGCAAATATTCTACATTCACAAACTCTGTATTTGGCCAGAAGAACTGATGGTTTATGGGTAAGATGAGAACAAGCTGAAGATCAAATGAGAGGTAAATAGATTAATAAGGGAGAACATAAAACAGGGATATAATAATATAATTATTAAAAGTATATAATAATATACTTTTGACCACATGAATTTGGTTAATTTAGATTTCCATTTGGTAAAAGGACATTATTATTCAATATTTTTCTAAATGTGATTGACTTTACCTGTATCTGACAATTGAACACATTCATCCACTGATACCCACACCCACACACAGAGAGCGAGAGAGTGTGAGATAGCAAGCACATCAAGCACAAGATTTGGCATAGGTTCAGTCTGGTGTTTTGGAATACAGCATCCTTTAATATAGGTTATTTTTCTGTATCTTTATAATCTGCCTTTCCGTTAGGAGACCATAGCTGCCAGGTTCAAGATGGGGCTTGAATTTGAATGAAAGTTTTAATCTTTCATTTATTTATTTATTTATTTATTTTGTCTCATTTCTATGCCGCCCAACTCCCAAGGGACTCTGAAAGTCAGAAATGCTGTTATTTTCTTGTCTTTTTACTTTTTATCAGAATCCGTATTCTGTAGACACAATAGAATCTTCCCTGTATTACAGAACTTGGAATAGAAGTTTGGAATTTAGGGTCATTTTAGGGTATTTAGGGTAAATTTTTTAAAAATGCTGTTATTCTGTTATTCATTTTATGATGTTTGAAGCATATTTTCCCCCACTGGAGTAGATGTAGAGTCAAATGTAGATCTGTCAGCTTCAACAATTGATAGAAGGTTTTAGAGCTGAATTCTGTACTTTCAGACTCTTTACAAAGAGAATAGTGCCTGTACTTTTCATTTTTCAATACACACATGAAGGAAGTGGGAGAACACTATAGACAAATAGTTCTCTCAAAGCAATATAACTGAAGAACTCCAAACATTTCTTTTTCTCTTTCTCTCTCTATGTTTCCTGGGCTTTTTATGGATAAAAGAAGGTTCTATATAGTTTTTTTTTTTTAAAAAACAACAACCCACAGATCTATTGTCTACCTTTTGGCAATTTTCAAAAAAATATAAATTACGCACAATGCCTTGTGACAGCACTGATTTGGTTTGTGTCACTTCTTAAGGATTTTGCTTTGATTTGTAATGGCGCAGCCCACTATGACACAGGATTCAGCTGAATCTGATGTTTATTCCTACCAATTAAAGTTGCAGTCCCATTACCTAAGATTTATTCCTGAATGAACATGCCTAGGATGATGGTAAAACTGTGTACTTACATTCCATAGATATCAAATCCCAATGATGGCCCAAATTCCTTGTTATTAGCCTAATTATAGTAATGAATGTGAATTGGGCCATTAATATAATTAACAAAGAAGTCATTTTCAGAAAAAAACTAATTGCAAAATATCATGCCATTAAATAACAGGAGCTATGGGGCTGCAGGTTGATGCTGATGTGTTACTAAGATGTAGTCTCTTGAATACATTTTGTACAAATAGCACAGAGAAATATATATATAGGCAACAGCATAGAATAGAATAGAATTCTTTTTAAAAAAAGTTTTACTGGATTTTTAAAAATATACATCAATATGAACAGTGTGGCCTCTGCGTATAATTCATTTTGATACAAACAACAATAATTGTGATAATCATAGTTGTTACATTAATCATGTAATATACATATGTAATATACATGATTATTTTTAGAGTAGTTATTCAATATTTCAATGTTCCATTTTAATGCCAATGATATTCTTAAGCATACATAGCCATACCATCTTTCAACCTCTGAATATTCCCCTATTTCTCATTTCTACCTCTATTCTAACTTCTAATCAGGCCACCATTATTAATCCTAGTGTTAATAACCT